GGCCACTTCTGCACATGGCAAGCAGTACTCTGGCTCCGTACACAGGCGTGAAGGTCCCTTTAAGAGGTGAACTCCACCCATGTCCTCTCTCTCTTTTTGCCATTTCTCTGAGGAGGCAGCTGTCTGTCTCTCTTTCTCTTCCCTTCCCTTACTCCCCTGCCTTCCCCCAATAAACTTGCCACATAAGTTACATCTGCAGCTCTCTGTCTCTCCCTTCCAAGGTCCCCCTCAAGCCATAATAACAGATAGGATGTATTAGCTATTCTCCTCACTGCTGTGACAAATACTGCATAATACTTAAGGAAGGGCTTGTTTTGGCTCACATTTTAGGGGCCCACTATGAAGGAGAAGATATGGTAGCAGAGAGGCGTAGTGACAGGAGCAGGACGCGTGCTGATCACACTGTATCGGCTGTTGGGAACAAGGATGACAGATAAGGCATGGTAGCAGAGAGGGGCCGTGACTGACAGGAGCAAGACGCAGGCTGATCACACTGCATCTGCTGTCGGGAATGAGGATGCTTACCTAGCTGAATCCTTTCCATTCCGTTCAGGAGCCCCATCTAAAGGTGGTGCCACCTACATTCTTGGAGGGTCTTCTCTCCTTAGTCAAACCTGACTGCAAACACCATCATAGATAATGGCTGTGGAAGTCTAACTCCCATCAAGGCAATAATCAAACAAACCATTATGTAGAAGTTAAGTTACTCAGGCTGTCCCGGCACACACTGCATCTTCAGGCTTTGAATGCTGATTCAAAGCCCTGGCAAACTTTGAACTTGGAATCCTCCTGCCTCAGCCACCTGTGTTCCCAGGCCTGGCTGAAAGCAACTTTTAAAAGTATAAAGACTAGCTGGGCATTGGTGGATCTCTGTGGGTTTGAGACCAGCCTGGTCTAACAGAGCGAGTTCCAGGACAGCCTCCAAAGTCATAGAGAAACCCTGTCTCGAAAAACCAAAAAAAAAATATATATATATACACCATCAAATGTAAATTCACATTTTTCAGTATTGTAGAACATGTAATACATACATCACTACGGGTACACATTCTGCTTTAACTCTTCCCCTCCTCCCCAGGCCTTCCTTTCTCTTTCAGAGCCTCTAAGCAGAAAATGTTCCTTTCACGTTTGAGGCAGAGCCTTTCCGAGTCCTCTGGCCCTGTTTGTCTTGACCCGCTGAAGGCCCCTGCTCTCATCGGCTTCATTCTCTCATTCTTTGTGTCTTCCTCTGTTTATAGACATGTGCTCATATCTGACAACTTTTCTGGTTTGCATTTACTTCAACCATTTCATTATTTATTTATTTGTAGCATGCTCAAGATCGACGTGGGTATTACATTGAATAGAAAAATACTCTATTAGTAACCTACACCCCTAGCTAAGTTGTTTTTAATTAAAAAAAAAATTTGGTGGGGGTCAAGACAGGGTTTCTCTGTGTAGCCTTGGCTGTCCAGAAACTATGTAGAACAGGCTGGCCTTGAACTCAGAGATCTACCTGCCTCTGCCTCCTGAGTGCTAGGATTAAAGGTGTGTGCCACAACTGTCCGGCTTTAATTTTAATTTTTTAAAAAATGCTATGTATATGAATGCTTTGTGTATGAATGCTTTGCCAAGCACACATGTCTGTGCACCACATGTGTGCCTGGAGTCAACAAAGGTCAGAAGCGGGACTCAGATCTCCTGGGACTGGAGTTACAGATGGTTGTTAACCACCATGTGTGTGCTTGGAATCGAACTAAGGTCCCCTGGAACAGTAGCCAGTGTTCTTAACCACTGGGTCATTTCTCCAGCCCGTTTTTCCCCCTTATCACTCACCATATCCAAAGAAGTACCGGTCGCTCAAGGCCTCTGTGGCTTTATTCTTCCTCTACCCTGCAGGTGACCAAATCCAACAAACTTTTTCTAGACTCTACCTTGTTTCTTCAGTGGAATCTTAAAAGTTTACTGATTTGTCCTGTCTTTACTAATACCTAGGACGTATCTCAGCGATAGAGTGGTTGTCTAGGATGTCCAGGGTCCCGAGTTTGACCCTCAATACAGCAAAAACAAACAAACAAAAGTTTATACATAACAATTAAGTTATGATAATATGAGAACCCTTGGCAGATTCCAAAGCAGGCAAGGGTGGCCAAGGCGGTGAGGCAAACATGTCAGGCAGACAGAGCTTCAGTGAGAAGTTGTATTAGAAAGGGAGGGAGGAGGGAAGGAAAGAGAACAGAGGTAAAAAGACACAGAGACACAGAGAGGACAGAAGAGAAGAGGGAGACAGGAAAAGTCCTGTCTGCCCCAGAGGAACAGCAGGAAACAGATGGTAAGTGGGCGGGTCTGTCTTTTAAAGGGGTCCTTTGCACCTTTGCACAGACTAGTGGTCACGGAACCCTGGGCTGACCAGAGTACTGCCTGAGTGCATTCTGCCAGGTGACAATGGCATGATGCCCGAGTCCTTACAAACTAATACAGACAATACCAAGATGAAGCACTTCTCTCAGGCTCTCAAACATACTCTCGCCTCAGACCACCACTGCAGCAGCCTTGCCGCTACTACTCCGGCTTCTACCCGTTCTCAGATTTGCCTTTCATATAGCTGCCTGAGACAAGACAGAGTTATCCAACAGCTGGAACACAGCTGGGCTTCCTGAAGAGGAGGGAGTTAGTTACAGGTGACCTCCGGTTTCCAACTGATTGGCCGGGGGACTGAGGAACCCTCAACTGGGTGGCAAGTATAAGATGGATATGAACACGGTATAGAGAAGTGTGGAATGGTTTGTAAGTCAGCCTTAATAAGGCCATGCAAAATGTGTTCAGCTGGCAGCCGAAAATAAGGTTGGGGAGAGTTGGGTGGCTGCCATTGCAGGTAAAACCAGAAAACCAAATGAGATTACTTCAGCAGCAAGAGCAGAATAAAGAGGCGTGAGCTGGGCACGAAACTCAGTACATCAGCATTCAAGGGACAGACCCTAAAAGAGGATTGCACTAAGGAGACAGAAGGAGGCCGAGAAAGGAAACCTCAGAAGCAAGGCCTGCCTTCAATCCCAACACTCAGAAGGCTAAGGCAGGAGGATCACAACTTCAAGCCTAGCTCAGGATATACACTGAGATGCTATCTTTGAAGAAAGAAAGAAAGGAAGAAAGGAAGAAAGAAAGAAAGAACAGGGAGGAGGAGGGTGGGAGAGAAAGAGAGGAGCAGGTTAAATATCAATGGCGGGCAGAGACAATTCAAAAAGTTATTCAAATCATATATTTGTTAGCGGCAAATACTAAGAAGAGAAAACAAGTCAGGGGGTTCCTTCTAGATCTATTTTGCTGGTATGATTAAACACCCTGACAAAAAGCAACTCAGAGGGGAAGGGTTTATTTCAGCTTACAAATTGCAGGTTACAGACAGTCTGTTACTGCACAGTAGCCAAGGTAGGAACTTTAAGCAGCTACCACCTCACACCCAGAATTAAAAGCAGAGAGAAATGAATGCATCGTGTCCACCTGTCGGCTTGTTTGTTCTCAGCTCAATCCTCCCTCTCACACAGTTCAGGACCCCACCCCGAAGGGAATGGTGCTGCCCACAGTGGGCTGGGTCTTCCCATAGCAATTAACTTATTTTTAAGACAATCCCTCCCAGACATACCCACTGCCAACCCAATGAAAACAGTCAGTCATTAAGACTCCCTTTAAAGGTGACTCTAGGTTGTGTTATCACCTAAGCTGACAATTAAAACTTACCGTAACAAAGTATCAAATGCTGAAGACAGGCATACAGTTTTAGGTGGGAAGGCCTGAGAAGGTAACCCAAAGGGAATGAAGAAAGTAACTATAATTAGGAGGGAATAATTATTATCATTTGCAGTGTATTAGCCATTTCTAATATAGAAAGTGTATTGGTATCACATATCATTACTACTTTCTTTGCTACAATTAATGTTGTGATAATCACTGTCATCTCTGGCTATGGAGTCATTTTAGCAGTGGCCTGTAGTAATCAAGGTTTATGTAATCTAGTACTAGGAAGGGCAGAAGCAGCTTGACACACGGGAATTAATTATGTGTTCAGAGTAGCAAACAAGAAAGAGATACCAGGCATTATAGCTCAGGTCTCAAACTCTGCACTCAGAGCACTGAGGAGGCTATCTTCAGGTACACAGAGAGGATTTTGTTGGGGATGGAAGGAGTGGAGAGGGAATATGAATGAGAATGGATAGGATGCTTTGTGTGTACTAAGGTTGACCTTTTGGCCCCAACATGCATGCATGGAATACTACACACCAGGATCATCTTCAGACCCAAAAGGTACTGAAACAAAGAGATCTCTGACACGGGGAGAGTGGTAATCCCATCTCAGATGAGCATGTGTACAGGGTATGATGGAGAGATTACAAGACAGGATTGTGTTTCTACAGGAACATTTATTTGATGGTTAGAAACAGGAATTTATAATTAAGAGGAACTGGAAGTCTTTGCTATTTGCCAAGACAAGCACACTACTGGAGTGAGGTAGGTGTGAAATAATGTCTGCTGGATAACACTACACTGGTGAGGGTTAGATCTTGCTCATGACGGAACTTATCTATTACAACAAACAGAAAACCCTTGAAGTTTAAAATCTTACAGCTGGGGCTGGAGAGAAGGCTCAGGTCAGTGCTTAAGAGCACTGGCTGTTCTCCCAGAGGACCTGAGGTTTGATTCCCAGCACCCACAAGGAGGCTCACAACTATCTGTAACTCCAGTTCCAGGGGATCTGACAGCCTCTTCTGGCCTTGGGAGGCACCAGGCATGCACGTAGTATACAGACATACATGCAGGCAAAGTATCCATATGCATTAGCAAAACAAAGTAAAAACAACCTTGGTCCAACTAGTAGTAATGAGTGCATAAAAAGGTGTCCATCAATTCCCTGTAAGTGTTGCTATAAGTGAGGGGAAAAACGCATGCCCTCCCTGGCTATGAAACCAAATGGCTACATAAAAGTTTTGAAGGAAAAAAGTAAACAGGCCAATGATGCTTTACAGTTTGTGTAAACAGCAATTTGTATTTCTGGTTTTATTACATTTTCATACACTTAAAGAAGGGTATATATTACATTCATTCACATTACATTCTTTGCTAGGGAAACCCAAGACTCATATTTAATCTCCTTCTACTCGAAGGCTAGAAAAACAAACTATGGGGCTGGCGATGTAGCTCAGTGGCACAGTACTTGCTCGGCATGTGCAAGGCTCTGAGTTCAATTCCCAGGACACTTTAAAAAAGAAAAAAAAAAGGCTCTGTTCAGGATCATATGACAAGCCAGGAATCCAGAGTCCTGGTCACTTGGCAAGTCTTCTGTCAGAGGAACATGAAGAAAGGAAGGCAGAAGGAGACAAAAACACTGGCTGAGGAATAACTTACTCATCTGTCAGTAACTGAAAAAGCACGATGTGAATTACCATGAACTTCATTGCCTCCTTCTTCAAATGTCCTTATGATTTCATGGTGTGGTCAAAGTCCCGAAGGATATCTATACACTTTGTGAGTTGCTGGGCCAGGGTGCCTGTTAGGTCTTCAGAATCCTTCAGTCCTGACTGCAGGAGGAACTTGGTGCAAGCCACATGCTGCCCTGCACAGGCCAGATGCAGGGCTAAAGGGAGACAAAAATGGTCTATACTGAGAACATGTGCTGCATTCAGAAAAGACACTGGATTATTCAGTTATATAGAGCTTATGTTTGTTTAGTCAAGGTGTGAATGTGTGTGTGACCATCTTGCCAGCTACCCACTTATACAGATTTTACACTTTTGTAATCTACCCAAGATGGCCTACAATGGATCACAATTTAAACCTGACTGGGTTGAAAATATTTCTAAAGAAAACAAACCTGCTAGGTGTGGTAGCAAACACTTCTAATTCCAGCAAATGAGAGGCAAAGGGAGGCAGATCTTTATAAGTTCGAGGCTAACCTATTTTATGTATCAAGTTCCCAGACAGCCAGAGCTCATAGAGAGACCCTGTCTAAAAAAAGGGGGAGGGGAGGGGAGGTAACAGAACAAATTAGAAAGGATGCAAGAAGTTTTCCTACTTAACAGGGAGCAGAGAAGACTGATTCTCCCTCGGCTCACTCTCATGTGCTACTTAAACATGGTTTTAATGGTTATAAAAATTCTTCAATGAGCCGGGCGTTGGTGGCACACGCTTTTAATCCCAGCACTCGGGAGGCAGAGGCAGGCGGATCTCTGTGAGTTCGAGGCCGAGCTGGACCGATAGCCTCCTAAACAATACAGAGAAACCCTGTTTCGTAAAACCAAAAAAAAAAAAAATCTTCAATGTTTTGCTGAAGTACCATGAATTAGGATGCAGTGATAAAAATCTGTTGACCAGTCTTTCTACTCTACATGTAGAAAGGTCCAGGTGTCCTGCTACCTGGTCTTGAGCAGTAAGTCTGAATCCCTGCTTAGACTAGCAGCAGCTATCCCGTGTGACCTCCAGGTGAGAATGAGTCATTTGTGAGGCTTTCAAGCCTGAAGATCCCACGGAACCCTCTGAGATGACCTCTGGCTCGAAGAATACTAATTGAATGGTTTCTTCTAAAGTCAAGTCTAAAGGAACAGTTCTAGACAGCACTGGGGATGCAGCCCAATGGTAGATCATGTCTTCCTGGGCCTTGGGTTTGGTCCCCAGTACACAAAGAAAAAGAAAATTGCTCAGACCATACCTCTGAACCTAAAATCTATATAACAGCCCTTATAGAGTAGACAGAAAATGCTTTCATCTCATAGATATTGTTATAGCTTAAAATAATAATAATAGGGGCTGGAGAGATGCCTGAGCAGTTAAGAACACTTGTTGCTTCTCCAGAGGACCAGAGTTCAGTTCCTAACACCTAGATCAAATAGTTTACAACCACCTATAACTCCAGTTCTAGCAGATCTTATTCCCCCTTTTTGTCCTCTGGGGCACCTGCATATAAAAACCCCTACACAAACCAACCAACCACAGTAACCAGGGTGGTGGTTAGTATTTATCATCATAATCATAACCAGTTGTGATAGCACACACTTTTAATTCCAGCATTCTGCAAGCAGAGGCAGGCGGATCTCTGTGAATTTGAGGTCAGTCAGGTTTAAGTATACGGGGCTGAATGTAGGGCTGCATGGGCTCACCACTGAGGTGCTCAACCTACATCAATGCTTTCAATTAAAAAGTACCTGAGTCATCTGCATTTCGTACCTGAGCGGTTTCTTTCATCTTTAGAGTTGATGTCGGCACCCAGGGATAACAGAGTTTGAACTGTGCTCGTCTGTCCTTCCTGAGTGTTGAAACAGATTCATTACCGCTGTGATGGGGACAAAAGCAAGCCTTTAAAAACAATCTCTAGTGCACATCAGAACCTCTTCCTGATGCAGCCAACTGCAAGCACTGAACCTCCTGTCTTAAGGAAGATCTGTACCACCCACGATTCTCACACGAATCGTTAAGTATTTGTAACATTCAGTTATCAGGATAGATAATATGATTAGGCTCCATCAAGGTCAGCAGTACAAAAAGCCTTGTGGTTTATATAGAACCCACATTCCAACATTTCCCAAGCATATGAACTCTTTGTTAAAATCTTTAAGGCAGAGGGGAACTGTTAGATTGGAGCTATCAAAAGAGACCCCTACTAGCATCATTCACAGTCACTTATACACACCTGCCTAGCCAGTCAGCTTACAAAGTGGTGAGGCAAAGTCAGGGTTTCAGGTTCAGTCTTTCTATGGAGGAAATGTTTGTGGCCTGGGCCCTCAGTCCATTTGTGTACCTATCCTTGGGGAAGTGTGGTGGGGATTGTTGGTCAGAGAACATGAAACTCTTGCTTCTAGAAAGCCAAATAAAGACACGTGGCTTCTAAAGCAAAGCTCCTAAAATAGCCTTTTCTTTGGTGAAATGTTTATGCACATCCTTAATGTTTTATACATTGGAGAAAACAGAAGGTGGAGTTCTTTGTGCTAAAGAGATTTTAAATTCTCAATACAATATAAGAAAGAGCTACAAATTTCATATAATGAATCTTTGCTCATTTGTTCATTTTTACTGTGTGTGTGTGTGTGTGTGTGTGTGTGTGTGTGTGTGTAAATACATGTATGCAGGTGCCTGTTGAAGACAGAAGAGGATGTCAGTCAGATGCCCTGGAGCTGGAGTTACAGAAGTTGTGAGCTGCCTTATGTGGGTTCTGGGAACTCTGCAACCGCAGTAAGCACACAAAACACTAAGCTATCTCTCCAGTCCCCTATTTATTTATTTCTAATAGAAAAAAAGCTAACTTTAGCATACTAAGTGGAGTTCCACAATATGCTTTCAAACACTTAAAGAGACAACTAAAATGGCCTCCATTACTCTTCAACATCTTCATGGTTTTAAATAACATTCCTGAAAATAAGAGTGGGAAGGGGTACATAAAGCCCAAGTATTATGCAGGATTAAGAATTCTCCTCTCTGAAATGACAGACTATGGATACCCCCATAGGGGGCCTAACCCTCCCTGGGGAAATGAGGGGATATTGGGGGGGGTTGGTGGGAGGGCGCGGGAGGAGGGAAGGGACCTGGAATTGACATATGAAGCAACATTGTTTCTAATTTAAATTTAAAAAGAAAAAAAGAAAAGAAAAAAAAAAAGAATTCTCCTCTCAGCCACGCACGTCTTTGATCCCAGTACTCAGGAGGCAGAGGCAGGTGGATCTCTGTGAATTCGAGACCAGCCTGGTTTACAGAGAGTTCCAGGACAGCCTCTAAAGCTACAGAGAAACCCTGTCTTGAAAAACCCTCCCCCCCAAAAAAGAATTCTCCTCTCTCCATTTTTGCCTAAAAACAAAAATGTCATGTTTCTATTTAAAGACACTAGAAGATTCAGAATCCTAAACATCTCAGGAACATAGAAAACAGATGGAGTCAAGATGCCAAGACTGCAGAGCTGTTCATCATTGGAGCAGAGCAAGCCTGTGGAAGAGATGCTGTCCGGAGAAGGAACTGACCTTGGCTGCGTAGTGAAGTGCTGTGAGCTGGGTCTTTGCTCTCACATCTATATCGATGCCAAGGCAGGACACCAGGAATCGTATGGCTTCATCCTGCCCGGTGACTGCTGCCCGGTGTAGGGCCTGGGCCCCCAGGCTGTCTTCAGCTGAAGAGCAAGCCTAGTAGGCAGGAAAGAGGAACGCCGTGAAAAGCAGGAATCTGAGTCCTTGGTCCTGCGGACGTTTTAGTGTAGCTTAACTGTCTGTGCAGTTCTTCTGGGCAGAGCACAAAATTTCTTCCTGATTCTCAAAGCACTTGAACTAAAATGTGGTCGAGTCAGCGCTCTGGCTACAGTGCCTTAAGCTCTGTCAGCACAATTTCTCGCTGTTACTATCAAAGTAACAGTATTTACTGAATCCTTAGTTTTCTCCATGTTCTATGTATGTTGGATTATTGGATCCTCCCTGGATCAAATCCAAGGTTCTGAGCATGCTACACTAGCACTTTATTCTGAGCTCCAACCCTAGCATCATTAAATCCTTGTAGGGACCTTCTGAAGAAATCACATTTTGTCACAGTTTTAGAGATGAGAACACTTATACATGTGTTTTCACAGAGGTCAAAGGTGGAGAAACTTAGAGGAGCTAGGATTTGAAGCCAGCAACTGAATAAGGATGCCCTGTTTATCCTCAGATTGAAATTTTCTAAGGAAGAACTAAAGGAATGAGCAAAACCACTTCATACCTTGTGTTTTTCAAGGAGCAGCTTGGCTATGTCAACATGGCCACACTGAATTGCATCCATGAAGGGCGTGACTCCACAGTTATCTCTACAGTCTGGTTCATAGTGACACCTAGAGTCAAATCCAAAAATGACAGAACTGCGACTATTCACCACTTTGAACCCAATAGCTGACACGAAGGTCTGCAGGCAGGCTGCATGCCTTACCGATGACCTGTGACCATGTGGAGCTGCCTCTCCTTTCACTACATTAGCATCTGAACCTAGCCCCCATCTTTGGGACCGTCCTCGTTGAACGTTCCCTAGCAGATCAGCAGACGCCTTCATTTCTTTAGCTTCTTGGCTTTGTGGTCACCCTTATGTCCTTTCTCTCCCAATTACCAGAATATAACTCTGCCTCCAGGCCACTTAAAACATCTCGATCCTCTTCTCCATCGCTGCTTTCTCCCTTATGCAGACAACAGCCTCTTACTGCTCCTCTTATCATGACCCTCACCTCCCCTTCCCCTGCACCCATTCTCCAGAACCACCAGCCATCTTGGGCTGGCCCGGAACTCATGCTTCTCCTGCCTCAGTCTTCGGAGGGCTGCAATTACAGATGTGTGCTACTGCACGTAGCTTTTGAATTCTAGGGCTTCATGGAATTATTAATACACTCAGTCTTCTTCATTAGCCTATGAAGGTCCCTAGAGAAGAGCTATGCTTATTTCATTACCCAGACCTAACACACAAAGGTTACTGAAAAGTATTTCTTCAGTTAAGGGTATTACAAAATTGAAGAAAAGCAAATGTGTCCTATCTGTGGTTCTAAATGCCTGCCACATGTTTTTAGAACTCAGGGCTCAACGCTCTCTGCTTTTACCCATTATCTCTTCCATTTCTAACCTCACATTACCATTCCTACGTTGCAAAGCCTCACATTTGTATCTGGCCCATTTTGTCTTTGCCTATTTCAACTCTGCTTTTATCTCTCACACAGACACAACTACTTCACTTGTTCCAAAGTGAAATTCTTATGCTTCCCTCAATCCTTCTCCTCTTCCAGTGTTCACTGTCTCAGCAAGTGGCCCACGTGCCACACTGTGAAAGTTTTCCCTTGCTCCTCCTTTATTTTCTATGGTGCTGGGGATGAAACTTGGCCAAGGTCTTGACTATGCTAGGCAAACATTCTACCACTGAGCTACATCCCCAGGGTCCTCTCAGATCCTTTTCATCAAATTACCTGCCTATTTCTACTGATTCCACTTTTTAAAGCTACCCTTCAATCCACCTCTTCACTGTTCTATTGCTGTAAAGACAGCTCTTTATGAAAGAAAGCATTTAATGAGGGCCTGCTTACAGTTCCAGAGGTTTAGTCCATTGTCATCATGATAGGGAACATGGAGGCATGCAGGCAGGCACTGGGACAATAGCTGAGGGTTACATCCTGATCCCTAGGCAGAGAGAGCCTAGGCCTGGCGTAGGCATTTGAAAACTTAAAGACACACTCCCTCCAGCAAGGTCACACTCCCTAATTCCTCTAATCCACACTCTCTGGTGACTGGTTATTCAAACATATGTGGGTATTCTTATTCGAACCGCCACATTTTTTTTTTTTTTTGGTTTTACGAAACAGGGTTTCTCTGTATTGTTTTGGAGGCTGTCGGTCCAGCCTGGCCTCGAACTCAGAGATCCGCCTGCCTCTGCCTCCCGAGTGCTGGGATTAAAGGTATGCGCCACCACTGCCTGGCCAAACCGCCACACTTTCTATACTCATCTTTTCAGTCCAGCTACCATCATTTCATGTCTCTCCTGTTTCACTTCCTCAACCTGAGACAATTTCACAGGTTCATTTATATTTTGTAACCAGGTGATGCTTGAAAACTGCTAATTACTTATGACCATTGGCTTAAAACCCTTCAACAAGGTGTCTGGGGAGGTAGTTCAGCAGTGATGGGTATTCATTGCTCTTCCGGAGGACCTGGGTTAGATTCTCTCCAACACCCTCTTCTGGAAGCCACAGGCACCAGGCATGCATATCGTGTACAGACATGCATGCAAGCAAGACATTCAAATACATATAATGAATGCAATGGTGGACAGCATCCATATTCTTTATTGTTTAGACTTCAGCGTATCTTAAACTACTTTCAGTCACGCAAACGTGCTACCCTTTTTCTTGGTGCAAAAATCTCTTTTGCCCCTTACTCACAGCTGTTATTTTCCCCTCAGGTGAACAGCTTTGGCTGTGCTAGTGCTGAGGTATTTATTTCTTCAGTCTTCACTAATTTACACTGGGTCTTCCTCTTACACACACCTTTGGAGATTCCTGAATACCTTGCCATGCTGATTGGTATGTGGCCCTGTTCAGTTTGTAGATACTGAGCTCTCTACATAAAAGGAAAAAACCTAGCTCCTTGTCCTAACTTAGGAAAACTTTCCACCAGTTTACCATGTCGTTCTTACCTATCAAGAAGCTCCTGTACTGCTTCGAAACAGCCATGCATTGCTGAGAGAAAGAATGGAGACAATCAGAACTTTTTAGTGTAGACTTGAAACTTTCTTGGCTTCTGTGGTAGTCTGAAAGAAAATGTTGGCCAGGTATTGGTGGCACACACCTTTAATCCCAGAACTTGGGAGGCAGAGGCAGATGGATCTCTGTGAGTTCGAGGCCAGCCTGGTCTATAGAGCCAGTTCCAGAACAGGCTCCAAAGCTACAGAGAAACCCTACCTCCAAAAAAGAAAGAAAGAAAATTTTCACCAAAGGAAGTGGTACTATTAGAAGGTGTGGCCTTGTTGGAGGAAGTATGTGGGGGTGGGCTTTGGGTTCTTCTATGCTCAAGCTACTCCCAGTGTCGCAGACCATTTCCTGCTGCCTTCTGATCATGATGTAGCCAGCACCATGTCTGCCTGCATCCTGCCATGTCTTACCAAGATGACAACGGACTAAAACTCTGAAACTGTCAGTCACTACTTCAATCCAATGTTTTTTCCTTCATATGAGTTGCTATGAGCCAGGCTGTGATGGCACACACCTTTAATCCCAGCATTAGGAAGCAGGGGTAGGTAGGCAGATCTGTGTGAGTTTGAGGCCAGCCTGGTTTACAAAGCAAGTTCCAGGACAGACTCCAAAGCTACACAGAGAGGCCCTGTCTAGAAAAACCAAAAAGAAAAGAAAAAAAAAGTTGCTGTTGCTGTGATCATGGTGTCTCTTCCCAGCAACAGAAACCCTAACTAAGACAGCTAAGAAGGTAAATCATTGGCCAAATACTGGCTCAGGCTGTGCAAAACCCTAGTTTTATCCCAGCACAATGAATAAATAACTAAAAACAAGCAAAATTCTTTCTCCTGGCTCTAAAAAAATTTGCTTTAGATTTATTTATTCTATTTTGTGTGTTTAACTGTTTTGTTTGCATGTTTGTATGGGTACCACACGTTTGGATTATGCCCACAGATGTTAAAAGAGGGTTATGGATCCCTTGAAAATTGGGATCTTAAGTTAGAGATGGTTGTGGGTGCTGGGAACTGAACCCAGGTTCTTTGGAAGAGCAGTAAGTGTTCGTAACTGTTGAGTCACTTCTTCAGTCACTTTTGCCCTGGTCTTCTCCCAGAAGAAAAACCTAAAGTAGACAATACTGTCTTATGAAAAAATATTTCAACCAAATAAGTGGTAAAGAATGTTTTCACTTTATACACTTGATTATTTCATCTATATGAGCATTTTTATGGCAAACTTCCAGTTTTAAACTTATCTCCCCATTTTAGCGATGTAAGTTTCAAAGGCTGGTGTAGTCAGTCTCTCACCAGAAAACTGCAAAAATGTTTTGAAGGAAACCTATTTAATAGCAATCTATGAAAATTTCTAAAATTTACTTCTCCTATTGAGGATACCCATTCTCAACAGCGAAGATTCTACTTGGCCTCCATTTATTTTGGGTGAGTGATAGATTGGTGACTGGTTCTCCAAGGGAATATTTTTAGGAGTGCATATGATGGGGACTAAGTATTTTATGAACTAGGTAAATTTTTCCTACTTACTCAAAAAGTTTCAGAAAGAATTCCTTGGTCTATAAGTGCCAGCTGTGGCTGGAGAACAATTGGCTGCTTGTTCCCTGACAGTATGAATTATATCATATCTCAGGCATTGACCTTTAGAGATAATATGAGCTCAGTATCCTAATTCAATGAACTGCCTCTTAGACTAAGTTGTCTTTTTGCGGGGAGAGGTGTTGGGGGATTTGAGACAGGGTCTTCTAACATTGCCCAGCAGTCCTTAAACTTGCATGGATCCTGCTGTCCCAACCTCTGAAGTGCTAGAACTAGAGGTACACACCACGCTGCCTGGTTTATTTTCCACACTAATTTTGCTTTTTGCCAAGACACTACAGTATGGTGTCATCACCATTGTGAAAATCTAAGAAGGATCTTTGTACAAACATAGACCAAGTTTTTTACTCAGGGTCAGAGACTTTGGAAGGGACAGAGCCAGCTTACCATCTCACTGACCAGGAAGGGTAAGACAGACACACATGAAAGGCGGGCTAACAGTGACACGAGAGCCAAGGGTTCCACCACTTTACAAACTTAATAGTCTGCCAAGACGTCCCAAGATGCTCTGACGCTGTGCCTTCTCGTTTCCCAAATCCTCCAATCCCTCTGCAGATGACTTGAACTACAAAGTGTAGGCAGTGCTGGGGTGAAGCCAACTGCAGACACAGGGAATGCAGGGTATACCTGCAGTATGTAAAGGAGTTCTTCTAATTTTGCTCTCTGTTTTCCAAGCATCTGGAGAGACAGTGAGCAAGTACCGGAGGATCACAGGGTCGCCTTCTCGACTGGCAATGTGGAAGCTGTTCCAGCCATCCTTGTTCTTTAGGAGTGGATTGGCACCATATTCCACAAGGTCCTGGATCACTTCAAGGTTCTTCCTTGTACAAGCCATCATCAGAGGAGTCCTAAGGTCAACCGGGATGGAAAGGAGCTGAGGCATTTGGAAGAAAGTATGTCTTCCAGGCCATGAGGGAAGGAATGCATTTGGTACAGACAAAACACCTAGGGGAGTCTGGGGGTGGAGGGGTGGGGGGGCAGGAAAACAGCTCAGACTGTCAACCTCTGACTTCTCTGAGGACTGTGGAGAAATAACAAGGGAAACCGATTCTGAATGTGCATCCACAGGAGCAGGTTATCTGAGAGGCAAAAACTGTTTATGAGCCAAGCAGAGGACTGATTAAAAACCACAGATAACCCTCAAGATAAAGTGGAACTATTTTACAATAGTGAGGGAGATGCACTTTTAATTATATGGTGCTTTCCTGTCCTTGATGGGCTGAGATCAAACTCAGGAGCTCATACATGCTAGGAGGCTGCACCACTTTTGATATGTTTCCTAGCCCCTACGTTCTGACAGATTTGAAATAGCCTGGAAGGCAGGAACTTCATTAAGTTAGGAACCTAAAAAGTTTAACAGTCTCCCAGGAACCAGACACAGCTCAAAAAAGATGTCAATTTAGCAACAAATGAAATTGATTTGTGTGGTGGAAGACCATCTTGCTGGTGGCTCTGCAACGCTAGATGTGACAAAAGTGCTCAGAGCTCAATATTCAATGCATGGGAACTGAAACCTACCCACTGCAGCCATGTCAATTAAAATAATGCAATCATGAACAAGTAATTTAGCAAGATGACTCCAGAAGAACACATCCTGGGCACATGAACAGTACAATTCACCTTCCAACCATTTGATTACATTTCTATACTCTCTCAACGGGAAGCAACTGTCCTAACTAAAGAGCCAATCCCACGAAGAAAGGAAGGTTGGGGTGAAAATTAGAAACTGAGGAAAGCTATTTGTCTTACGAATATCTGCGATTCCTCGAGAGTGGCGATGCAGCTTTTCTGGACCCTGCGCACCTACCAGTCAGCCTTCTTCAAGGAGTCCACGACTGCACCTCGGTCCAGGAGGTAGCGCACGCAGTCCCGGTGGCCCATAGAGGCAGCTTCGTGCAGAGGCCGCTTGTAGTCTCGGTTAGCAGCCTCGATGTCCATACTCCAAGCCTCCACTAGATAAGCCAGGATGTCCTGGCGTCCGTGCCGGGCCGCACAGTGGAGAAGGGTGTCCCCGGCTGGCCCCTGGAAGCCTCCGGCCCTTTCCAGTTCCTCCTGCAGGGCGCGCAGCCGGCCTTCCTGCACCAGCCTGCAGAGGCGTCGCGGATCCCCAGGCGGGGCCATCACCTTGGACCAAGCGCGACCAAAGTAGGAGGAAGACGGAGGTCCAGTCTTCCCAAACACAGACCAGTTCAACAATAGGTGGAGAGAAGATGAGATAGGGGTTGGGCTTCCGCTTCCTCCACGTGACTGCTCTCCCAGACGCTCCGCCCCTCAGCGGGATCCTGTCCGCCAGCGTCTTTTTTTGTGCCACCAGTACTGGTCTGGAAATCACAATTGCCCGTGTGGAATGGTGTCTCCTCCTGCCACCGGACCGACAGCAAGCACGCTCGTAGGTCATTCTGTTAACTTCGCTCCAAACATGCCGAGTCTTCAGGGTGGGACCTTGGATTAAGGTTATGCACCTGACTTCTTGGAGCCGTCCCTTGCACCCGAGTGATCTGGGGACGAAGTACCTAACGGAATGTAGTGCACCGCTGTACCGAGAAGCCCTGAAATGGATCAGTGGGGCTTTGCAGCCTGGTCTAGCACCGTATGACTCTCCACCTTACAGCCTATGTCTGCCACAGTCGGGGTCTCGGGCTGCTTCAGTGGTAGCTACAGAGGCGGAGGGGGGCGCGGAGCATGGCTGGCTCTCTACAGCTGAATAATGCACGCTGCCTACCACTCTGGAGCCTACCCGACCCACGTGTGCTGTGGGGATGTCTGCCCGGCTGCGCAGTCGGGGTCTCGGGCTGCACAGTTTCCCATCAGCTGGGTTTCTGGGGCCTCTTGGAGGTGGGACAGTGTCCCTGTGCTCCGCCCTCTCCTCGCCCAATCCGCAGCCGATCCCAGCCCCCTCCCCGCCCGCTGCCTCCGCCTCAACCCCCACGGGAACCCAGAGAGCTCGAAGGAACTCTGGGAAAGTTTCCTTCGCCTCCTCCGCGCCAGCGGAAGAACCGACGGGGCGTGGCTCAGTTCCTTGGACCACGCCTCCTTCCGCCTCGCGTACGGATTGGCTCTAGAAGCCGTCCGTCCGCGCGCCCCTCTAGTTCCGGGTTCCGACTGGTTCATGGGTCCGTCCGTCGTCTCCGGCGGAGGGTGCGTCTTGGCTGCGAGGGGGCGGAGCTCGCGGAGGAAGTCTACAGTCGTCTCTGCTCTCTGTCTGGGCCGAAGGAGGGGCTTGCTGGTCGAAAGAAGGCTGGATGTCCAGGGGCACCGGCCGGGTGGTGTCGGCGGCTGGGTCCTGGGCCGGGCCACCCTAGTGCGTGAGACCGTGGACTTGGCGTGGGGGTGCGAGCCGTGCAAACTTTATCTTGTGGGGCCCAGCGCCGGGGTCTCGGCCTCGGGGGTGGGGCCCGAGCTGAGGGTGGATGTAGGAGCTGGCCGCGCCCGCGATGGTCAGGTGGAGGAGGCCGGGTGTCTCTGCAGACCGGTGCCCCTACGCCGCTCCCCGAGGCTCCGGAAGGGGCAACACTCGAGAATTAGCCTCTGCTGTTGGCAAGCCTGATTTGTCTACACTGTAATGTTTTTGACCTTGGGCGAGTCATTGTATTCTGCTCCCGACATTTGTGTTTGCCTTGGTAGTCTTCCACCTCCTCACCCGAACTGGAGATTCAGGGGATATAAGGCGGTCTGGGGGCTTTCGGAGGGCTCATTGAGATCCGAGCAAGTTCTTTTGGATTCCTTTCGAGGAACTGGACGTTTAATCTAGTGATGTTTTTGTTTGTTTGTTTGTTTGGGGGGTAAAATGGAAGTCGCTACTGTCAGGGTTAAAAACAATTTCTCTTCATTTGGCCCTGCACTCTGGCTCACAAAGTGCCTGCCATTGTCTCTTCCATAAACAGCCCGGAGGTAGCATTCTGATTTTAGATGCAAGGACACTGAGGCCTAATGAAGTTAGTGGTTTGGTTTTGGTTTTGGTTTTTAACCACGTATTGGTAAGTTGAGGCATCTGGTAGTTTTCAAACTTTTTGCCACTTTGCATGGTATATGGTTTTAAGTCTCGACATTTGGGAGACTGAACCAGGAGGACCTTGAGTTCGAGGCTAGTCTGGGTTACCTACTCCTTCCTTACAAATGATGGATTTTTGCCTTATATGTCTCTACTTTCCCATCATTGAAACAAAACTGAGACCCATGGTTCACAAAAGGATGAAATATTTGAAATCCAGGATACTTGGTGTTCCAAGTAAGATTCTGCCTCTCCTCTGCTTTATGAATTTACTTTGTTGTGTGTTTTCCTTTGGGAAACTAGATATTGTTTGTGAAACTGCCCCATGCCCTTGTGATCTGAAGAGGAGTGGTTTTTTGTGCTTGAAGTTTATTAATAGGGCTATTGCTGCTCTCTCTGCCTGGTCAAGCTGCCATTTCTTTAGTGAAGGTCTTTGGAGTTTGTGGCCTGACCTTTACTGTCTTAATTCCCATGTAGCTGTCATTGGAATTGGGATTTTTTTTCTACCTGACTTTTGCTGTATTTCATGGATCTGTGGCACTTGGGTGTTGTCGTTGAAGAACCCATTCTTTAACATGTTTTCTGACTTGTGAATACATAAAACTATTTAAATTCTAATTTCAAATGTGTTACTATATCTTTTTCTTCTTTTTTTTACCCCTTCCAGGCTGACTTGAGTTTAGAGACAAATTTAGAGACTTGCTGTTCTGGCTGTGAAATAACTTCTAGAAATTTATCACCAGAGCCAACTCTTATGTTGTCAGTGGTCAGTCACATGCTTTTAGAAGACTTCTTTTACATTTCGTAGACCTTTTTTGGAGCTTAACCGGGCATTCCCATTTTAAAAAACAAAAACAGAGCCTTTAAAAACAAAATAATATGGACATGGTGGCACACAGTTGTCATCCCAGCACTTAACTGGACTTTGTTCTAAGACCCCACTGCAGCAGAGCAACACAAACCAACAACAAACAAAACAAAAAACCACGAGAAATCCTGAAAAATTATTTTTTATTTTTATTATTTGTTGTTGTTGTTTGAGGCAGGATTTCTCTGTATAACGGCTCTAGCTGTCCTGATCAGGCTGGCCTCAAACCCACAGAGATCCACCTGCCTCTGCCTCCAGGGTGCCGGGATTATGCCTAGTGAAAAAATATTTTTATAAATTAAAACTTTAGGTCTTTGATTCTGGGAAAAATGATTAAAACAGCTATTTCTCCTTTGCTTTTTTACATAGCTAATAATGCCATTTCTCTTACTGTTCTATAAGAAATGTTAGTTATCCTTGATTTATCTCTTACTCTTTTTTTTTTTTTTTTTTTTTTTTTTTGGTTTTTTGAAATAGGGTTTCTCGGTATTGTTTTGGAGGCTGTCCTGGAGCTCGCTCTGTAAACCAGGCTGGCCTCGAACTCACAGAGATCCACCTGCCTCTTGCCTCCCGAGTGCTGGGATTAAAGGCGTGCACCACCACCGCCCGGCTGATTGATCTCTTACTCTTAACACCTTGTTGATGCCCACCTGTCCTCTCTACCCAACTCGTGCTCTCAGGCCCTTTCCAATTCCTACTTAGCTTGGTACCATGACTTTCTGATTTGTTTTGCTGACAATCTCCATGTCTATCTTGTGTAGTGACCTTGCTTTTTAAAACTGCACAAAAATCTGAGTTGCATATGCAATAAAGGGCAATTTCTTTAACAGTATATAAGAGGACCTTTGTAGTCTCTGGCTCCAAGTTTATTTTCCAGCCTTCTTATCTATCATTCCCTATCAGAAATGAAACTTTCTGTCACACAGAGCTTTGCTATGCCTTTGGTTTTTTTTTAATTGTTGTTTTGTTTTTTTTTTTTTGTCTTTTCCTCAGATTGTTTTCTTATGCCTAACTGAATCCCACTCATCATTTACAACTCAACTCTTCATGGAGCTTCTTCCAGTGATCCTAATTATATCTACTACCATAGGGCCTTATGCATGTATTTATGTAGCACTTGGATTGCTGTATGTTTAAAAATTTGTGTTTGTTTTGTTAGCTGCCTTATGGTCAGGCTTACTTATTTTTGTATGCTCTCCAGTGTCTAAAATAGCATTAGCAACAAGGATACCATAAGGAATGCTCTCATGAAGTTCATAGTAAATCTGGGATTTGGTAGATACATGAAGAGGTTGAAGAATGAATGAATAATAGAAAAAGATTTTCAAGTATGTTAAGATGTATAGTGGACAAAAAATAGTGAACATTCTGTTTGTTTTCTGCCATTCCTTCTAAGGAACACAGAATGAACAGCTCAGCTCTTTCTTTCTTGCTATACTAAATGGGTGCTTTTCTTAAGGAAGCTATGGGTACCTCAGGGTATGAGCTGACTGCAAAAGATTGAGGCTGTTGAGCTGGGAAGATGGCTTAATTGGTAAAGTGCTCGCCAGTCAAACATGAGTACTGAGTTGGATCCTGAGCACCATATAAAAAGCTGTGCATTGCAATGCATGCCTTGTAATCTCAGCACTAGGGAGACAAGCCAGGTTCCACAGAGCTGCTTGCTAGCCTGTCTAGCTGTATCAGGTGAGCCCTGGGTCCCACATCTGTGCAGTTTTTCATTTAATTAACAGTTACTTACGAAGTTATATATGGAGGATGCTAGGTATAAGTATATTCTTCATTCCCTTCCCACTAGATCTTACAGAAAACATTTAGCCTCAGAGTGGAAACGTTCAACTGTCATTATACTAATAATTGCTAACAATATAATACAATGAAGATATATTAAACCAGTAACTATACAAGGTATACTTGAATACATGCTTATGAAAGCATTGTGTTTCAGAAATATAAAGAGTGGTTGTATTACTGCTAAGTACTTCCTGGCTTGAGTGGCTACTGAGAGTGCTAGAGTTGAGGGGTAACACAGTTAGCTGTATTTATTTGGACTCAGTATCACTGGCTGTCATTGGACTTTTCAAATACCAGAATCATAATAATAATGGACTTTACCACACTGCAGTTGTGTTGTCTCCACAGGCAACACCAAGGGTCAGGTGTCTGTCTACCTAAATGTCTTCAGAGCCCGTCCATCAGAGAGTTGTGTGAGCATGAGGGAAGCTACCAAGGTGAGGCAGGGTGGCACCTTTCTCTAATTAGCAAAGTTAAATTTGGTGTTCAGAGCAGTATTCTCTCCAGTTAGGAACCTTGTACTAGGAAATTGGCTTGCTTTTGTTAAAACAGTAATCAGCCTCTCCAGGAATTCTAAGAAGTTAACTATCTTCATCTTGTTCATTAATATGTAAGTTCTAGAGGGTTTGTTTAAGTATGAGTAATAAAGATAATAGAATTATTTGGTGTCAATTTCAAGTGATCCTGGAATTATTAGCATAAAGTTGGTTGAAATAACTTCATTTTTAAACCACGTAACTGTCTAAAATGGTTCCAGGTGGTGGTAGCTCATGGTTGTTTTTGTATATATATGTGTGTTTGGTGGGGGAGGTTCTTTTTAAAGCTCAGCCTGCTAGGAGAATTCTTCCCCCGGGGTACACTTAGAACAAAAAGCCATATCGTGTTCTAGAATATTGTAATGGCATCCAGAGGAATTAGCCCATTTAACTGGGTGTGGGGAAAATGGGGCCAGAACTTGAAGGGGCACACATCATTTTATGTACCTGGTATTGATAAGGGCCCAGGCTTAAAGCGAGACCAGCTGCATCAGAAACAAGATGTGCAGAGGATTTGTGCTAAGGAAGAGGAGAAATAAATAGCCTGGACCACATAACTGGCATAACAC